TGAAAGCTAATTGTCAAAGAATAATTTTAAAGGAGGTGACTAGTTATCTATCGTGACTAGGTGAAGAACAAGTCACCTCACAATTCATAAGAGTTATATGTACTAAGATTGCAGTTACAGCACTGAGCCATTCATGTGACAAAATTTCATCGAGAAAATTACCATTTGGAAGGCAACTTTTCATGGTATTTGTACTGAGAGAAATTCGCATGCTAATGTTACTATGGTGCGTATAAAAAATTTGATAATTCAGTTTTATTTTAAAATTGGTCAATATTAAAACTAAGTCTATTATGTAGGGGTTCGTAGCTACCAGTCAAAACTAAGAATAATCCTGGGATACAACATTGTAAAAATTTGAATCCTAGCATATTTTAGCTGAATTTAAAATGTTAACCTGGCATTCTGGGATCATCTCTTGACAACTTGTCATACATTTGACAAATTTGATGAAAATTAGGGGCTGAAATCTTTGGAAATGTGGACTATGGTTTTATCCTAAAATTTTCAGCTGGTTTTCACCAGAATTTTTATTTATCCAAAGCATTTCGTCAACTCCTCAGTTAAATATGTGAAATTCGTAATGAGATTGCTTACTTGTGGAGTTCAAGCATTGCAAAAGCATACCCTTCATTCTAACTTTTTCAAAGAAATCAATTTGATATTTTCCCTCTCAGTATAACATTAGTACCTGAACAAACTTTAAGGAAAAACCATTTTTTAAAAAATACTACTTACAATTTCAGTGCGTCAACAACTCACGTTTTCTTTATCTCATTTTATGAGGTTATTTTAAACTATTTTGGTTTTTATCTGATGACGTTTATATCTTTTTGAGGGTACCGAAAAGTACAAACTGGTGGTGCAGTATTTTTAGCTCAGTAATAAATGTGAGTTCAACTAAATTAGTTGAAAACTTACTTTCAATTTAAAGTTTTTAGAATTTCTGAAATTTTCATGCAATATTCCAATCGTTTAAACAAATTATTCCAGTCAAAATTATATCACCAATTTCACTGAATTTATGGATTCATTGGTCAGCCGGGAGCACCTACATACTGCTCTAAAAATGCAACACAAAAAGGTGAGCACAATGCCGAGGATATAACAATTATCGAGTACAAAGTGAGTCCAAGACTTGGTGATGACAATACCAGCAACTGTGCTGATGTAGTTTCTGTCCAAGTAACTTACGAATTCCAAAACGATAAAAAGGAAAGATCTTTTATTTATAAAATACCTTTCAATCACCCACATTACGAAGCCGTTCGTCAACTAGGCATGTATGAAACAGAAACAAACATGTATAAAACCATTCTACCGAAACTAAATGCAATCCTCCCTCAGCCAATCTCTCCACAGTGCTTTCTGTTAGCTGATCGAGACACTCTTGTAATGGAAGACCTGGCTGCTTATGGATATCGAAATGGACCAGCTAGGCTGGACTTCGACCACTGTGTCATTCTATTCAAAACGATAGCCAAGTTTCAGGCTGCATCCTATAAACTCAGTCTGGATGATCCAACTCTGAAGAATGTCATCTCCCAAACACAATTATACCAGAGTAATTTGGTGACCTTAATGAGTGACAAAATGTTCTCACTATACGAACTCCTATGCGGGAAGAGAACGTCGATGCCTCCTCAATAGAGAAGCTCGAAACACTCAAGAACAAATTGGGAGCAAATTCCGCTTTAGAAAATGACAATTCGACACTTGACATGAAAGTATTGAATCACGGTGGTCTCAAGTCGCCAAATGTCATGTTCCTCTATGATCAAAATGGTCAGCATCCTATATCGGCCAAGTAATTGACTTCAAACTTGTCGTGGAGTTCTCCTGTCTCTGGATGTCATTGCTATATGCAGTATGTCTATGAAGTTCACAGATTTTGAAAACAAATATAATCAGATGAAAGAAATTACTTGGAGTCATTTAATCAGTGGTTAACTTTGCTTGAGTGTGGCAAGAATTATGAAGATGAGGAATTTGACGCAGACATGAGAAGTTGTGCCTATTTAGAATATTTATGTTTTTCAGTCAAGGTTATTTGGGTGTTTCAACAAATTTGAATGTGGTAAATCTCAATCCAGTGAGCTGGACCGCTGAAGTAGTGGGAAAGTGACTGCGGATAAAGAATTCATGCAAACATTCTTGGGATGGGTTAGATATTTTCAAAAATTGGGTGCTTTGAAACAATGTTGGATGAAAAAGATTTATAAAAGGTTTCTTTTGATATTTTTCATAAGACTTTGATGTTTCAGTATTTTCAACTGTGTTAAATAAAGATTTTACCGGCTCGATTAATTTTTCTTTTTCAGACAAGTTAACGTATTTATAGAATTCAGGTATTATAGCATTCACTAATGCGGGCCTTTTAATTAAAGTCCTACCTACATCTTTGTAAAAATTAAATTTCGAGTTAGTAGTAAGGAAATTTCAAAAAATTAATATTGCATTCGAATCAAACTGAAATTCTACTTCAAGCCCCCTCAAAAAAAAATAAAGCCTCGTTAAAATATTAGAAATATTAAGCTTCTAAATGGAAACAGCCACAAATCAATTTCCAAACACACATATATCTACTTGAAATTTTATAGCAAAACTGTCTCGTTATCAGTCCTACAACTGAACAATTATATACTTGAAAGAATCCTATAATTTATGCAATAGTACAACTCATGAAGAAGAGTCACAACTTGATTGTTTGTGTATATATAAACTTATATGAAAAAAAGGCACAACTTCAATCGAAAGCTGTTTGAAGATCACTGGGGAAATGGGGGAATAAAGTCATAAATATATTCAATACGGAGTACTTTGCTGAAAAATAAGCGAAAACTAGTTGAAAATTGACATATTTATGATAGTTTGAATTTTTTCAAACTTGAAAACAGTTTTTTTTGAAAAAATAGTTCATACATTAAATTGTTCCTACTTCATTGAAAGAAAAAAAGATCGATCAGAGCCGGAATCATTCAACCGTTTTCATGAGAAAACCTATAAATTTGAAGTACAATTCCGTTTTTGTAAGAAACTACTGCAAAATTATTGAGCCGAATAATTTTTCCGAACTACGGCACCTATACTTTATCAGTTGGGCAATAAAATTTAATTGACTCAACGAGTGCATAACTTTTGTTCAGTTCTGAGTATTTAAATATAATTTGGAAACTGCGAAAGCCATTTATTTAAAAAGATTGAACCAAACTTTAAGCGAATTGGACAGTCAAAGATAGCAATTGATAATGATCTCGAGCAAATGAAATTGTTAGGCCCAATTTTATGAAGAGTAATTAAGGTCTGATCAAGCAATCATCACACCAATTCCCTAGTGAATCAGTGTGATGATTGCTTGATCAGACCTTGATTACTCTTCATATAATTGGGCCTTAAAGTTTTTCACTTTATTTTCAGTTTACACGAATTTAAAACCGCTGCTGTTTGATTTATTAGCATCGAACAAATAATTTTGGACAATAATAAAATCGAAAAAGCTTTTGATTGTGAAAAAAGCAGGAAGTGGTTGCTGAACTGGATTCAGTATTTTTTTTTATATGAAAAATTATTATAGTCATACACAATGTTTTTCAAGTCGTACCAGCTAAGTGTGAAACTTTTTGGGAGAAAGTTGACAGTTGAACGTTTCTCTCTGCTGAGATGGCAACTTAAAAAAAAAATAGGTATACAGATACAGAAATTTTAGGAGTACGAGTTCTTGTTACCGTGTAAGACAGAAATTAAAGCCTGAAAAAATTCAAGTTTAGCTATAACAGGAACAATAAATTTTGATGTGATGAAATCGTCATGTAGTATAATGAATACCTCAGAGACAACATTTAAGACCAACATTTATTTCGTTGAAAATATAGATATCCATACCTAATCCATTTTTGTAATCAAGAATTTCATAATTGATAGGCGGGCTATGAGTTCTTAATTGTTTTGATACAAACGATTGAAAAATTCCCGAGCATCGCCATTATAAAAACAAGTTTATATAACTGATAGGAAAAGCAAATTTACATGGAAAATCATCATGATTTGTTCTTGATTAGAATTCATAAAATCAATTCCCTCACAGTTGTAATGAAATACGAATATTAAAACAGAGACGTTTGTGGGGCCTTCATAGAATTGAGTTTCAACTGCAGGGCTGCTTATTTTCATTACACGACCTGAAAGTCGGAAGTACATACCTATAGATTAAGTCCCATTTTATCGGAAAGCTATGTTGGAACTGAGTGCTTAGTTTGTGATTGTGACCGATTCATTTTGCATTTTTCTATTTGACTCGAATTTCCTTTCTGACTTTAACAGACTTAGGATTGTCAATGTATATGTTAGTGTGATTAAAATGAGAATTAGAATGCACGAGCCCGATGATCTTTTAACCCAAGCTCTCCTCGGGTCCTCAGGTCAGGACTCAATTTGGTGATTTCTTTTTCACCCCCCCCCCCTTCCTCTGATATCTCAAGAATCAATTCGAGAAAAATGCTGTTGGGGAACTCAATTTGGAATTGCCCTCTGAATGTAACAAAATGGTATTATTCAACTCTTGCCCAAACTTTAAACTGGCATGGCATATAATTATGTACAATATTTTCAAGTTGATTGGTTCGGTAGGAAGGATGGGTGAGGCGAAACAACTTTTTTAAATGTCTAATTTTCTGGGTAAACCCTCAAATTTGAAAATAATTAATAGGCAATATTTTGGAGATGATTAATATTAACCAATGAGAGCGGAAAAGACCCAAATACATGTTTTGGCCACTTTTGTTTATTAGCTAATTCGAGTCCCTTACACTTCCAGGAATCGAATAAGCCAAAAAGTATAGTATAAAATTACAAAAAATTTAGGTACTTGAATCGTTTTCCTTCTCCACGGTTCATTTCTGATCAGTCTACAAGGCATGTATAATGGCACGAATCAAGTTTCTACATAGGTTGGTCTAAAATGATTCGTAATTCCTCTTCCCTGGAGCCCAGAAAATTTGAAAAACATTTTCAACCAGATGGGTCTGTAGCCTCATCTTTTAGCTGCCTACGTAACAAATTTCACCTTCCTACCATGAACGGGACGCCCGTACGGTCTATTTTTGCACTACCATATCGATAGACCCCGTACAAAAAAAAGTAAGCGCAGAAAACCAACGCTCTCGGCGCGGCAACACTGTTCCGCCAAAAACCAACCGTCGAGCGGAAAGAGGGGAGTATGAGGATGAAAAAGAAAAAAAATCGTGAGAATCGAGCAACTTTTTGGCACACTACGAAGCGTTGAAAATTGCGTTACAATTTGTGGTAGGAAAAATTAGCTGATTGAAATCCCGGTAAAATGTTTTCTCGCCGAATATCTGCATCAAACCTGCAGGAATAGAGGTTCAAGGTCACAGATGTTTGTGTACGATTCAGATACAAGCAATAAATGAAACACCATTGTCCCTGCAGCTCTAAAATGGATATTGAGATGAAAAGTGGTTGCCAGGATTTCAATCTGAACTTTTTTTTTTCAACACGCACTCTCCACCTTCCTTGTAGCCACACATGACTCAATTCTTTCGTTTTTTCTTTTGTTTTCATCCTCCTACCTTCCTCTCTCCCCTCGTACCGCATTTTCCTT